CCCCTGTCTCGTGCTGATGTGTTAACGCTTTTTTGGGGCATGGGGAATCCAGCCAAATTCTACTCATAATTAATTATACGGTCCTTTATACCCTAAGAAAAAGTCTCTAGAAATAGTAATCGAGAGAGAGAGAGAGAGAGAGAGAGAGAGAGAGAGAGAGAGAGAGAGAGAGAGAGAGAGAGAGAGAGAGAGAGAGAGAGAGAGAGAGTGTGTGTGTGTGTGTGTGTGTTTGTTGTTATTGCACATACCCAGCCCATTTGGTCCATCCCCATACTGCCCAGGTCGAGCCATCGAGTATCGATTGATGATGCGGGCATGAGATCTTGCCGCGTCAGGGGCTGCTGCACATCCTCCATCATGTGGTGCTGCTGCTCCTCTGGACCAAGCTCGGAATCCCAGTGTTCATCTACGTTGCGCGCACGCGGTCGAAAACGTGTCAGTCACTCACTCTTCTGGCTGGGAATGTGTGTAAAATGGGGATTGGAAGGACGGATATATAACATACCGGTCACAGAGAGGCTGCCGACGGACAAGGGCTCATGGCTTTGCGATGCGTTGAGCCAAGAGTCCTCGTCTCGCACGTACGCCTGATGTTCCGGGTGGTGCTGGTCAGGTGCGAGCTGTTTGCCTTTGTTCTGCTGCTTCTTCAGTTCAATCTTCTTCAGCATCGTGGCGAGCATGTCAGTCGCCTTCCGGAAGACGCCGTCAGCTTCCGAGATGGTTTCCCATATCTGATGGGACCTCTCCAACATCTTTTGGAGTTGCTCCTCGTTCGAGAAGGCTGACAAGGCCGGGTCTAGACTTGGCCAGCAGCTGCTCTCCTGGTGGTCGTGTCTCCCAGACTCTGGCTCGTGCTGAAGGACGAGGTAGACGACCATGGCGGCGAGGAGAAAGTCGTGGATGGCCAGCGCGCTGATGTACCAGCCTGTTGCCCTCAGTGCGCCGCCGGGCAGCGTGGCCAGGTGCATGAGGTTTTGGTGGTCCAGGAGGCTGATGGCGGCTTCGAGGCAGATTCTCCGGGAATAAGCATGCTCGGGCTTGGGGACGGGCTCGATGAGGTATCGACGGTGCAGCACGCAACGGCTCTTGTTGTACAGGGATATCAAACCGAACTGCTGGTTGACCAGAACCGGGGAGATGGGCTCGCCATCATAATCCTGTGGTGGCACGATTCTCTTCATGAAAGGGGGCACCTGGCTCCATATTTCGTCGAGTCGCATGTCGAGCTCCTGGACCTCGGCGTAGGTGGGTCGGGTGAGGGAGTTGGCTTGGCGGGCGACGAGACCGAAGACTTGACAGATGGAGGATTTCCAGATCGGGTATGTCAGCATGGTGTACTCGGTGTCGGGCCGGGCGGGGGGTAGCTGATGGCAGTCTTTGTCCAGGTCGTCATCGAAGAGGTTTCTGGGCAGGGCTGTGTCGCTCTCGATGCTGTATACCATGCTTGGGAGGCCCATGTGGAAAGAGACGAGGTGGTCGAATTGGCAGGCTACATGCCATAGCCTTCGCCTCATTTCTCCATCAAAAGAGGGGATGTTGGGGAGCTTGTCGGGGTCGCGGTGGAGGCCCATTCTCAGCATGAGTCTGATGCAGACTGATATCAACAGGTAACAGATCATCTGGGAGGTTCGGTTGATGAGGAATTCAGACTCGATGTACAAGAGAAAAGGTTGTATCGTTGACGGTCCGGGAGACGAGAACTTGCCTGCCACCAGGGCCCAAAGGGCGGCGGCACGATACCCTCGGAATCGCTCCATCGGGGGAACGTCCGAGTCGCCCGCCAGTTCCCGGGGGGCGGTGAACATGGAGAACGACGTTCCCTGTGCAATGATTACGAACAACAACGCCAGCCATTGCAGAGACGCCTTGTTCGGATCTTGCCAAAACACAGCACAATCTTTGGCAAAGGTCGGCTGGTGGACGCAGTGGTGGGTCGGGCTGGCGGCATCGAAATAACGCCGTGTCAGCCTTTCGACCACCGGTTGAGGGGGGAGCATATCAAATAGATCCTGCTTGCAGGTCGGGACGGTGTGAGACAACAGCAGCAAGCCAGGTGAGTGCGCGTCGTCGGGAGAGCCGAACCCTGCCACCGCGTCAGGGTCGAGGCCTGCTTCCCCGGTGTCTGCCTCCCCATCATCGTCGTCGTCGAAGTAACTCTTCAGGTCCTCGATCTATTTTATCACCCCTTTTATCAGCAACCCACCCACACCTCTCTCTTGGTCAAACCGTAGGAGAACACTCACATCCTCGAGCATAGCCATGAAATGCGTCGCCCCTACATACGTAACACTCCCCTTGCCGCTCTTCCCCAGCACGACCTGCCCAACAGGGACCGCGGCTGCTCTTTCATCTGGGCTTTCCTCGTTTTCATCGTCGTGCTCGTCGGTTTGATACTGGCCAGTGGCTGAAGAAGAGGATGTAAGCGCCGGGATGGGACCACGGATGTTAGGGTTGTTGGTGTGCATCATGCCCCTGACCATGGACTCTAGCCTTTTCAGGCGGGCAGCCATGGACCGCTCGGGGCGGGCTTTTTCTGGTTTTGGGGCGTAGATGCAGAGGTCTTCGCGGGCTTTTTTGAGGCAGTTTTTGCAGGGTTGTTGGCGGTCGCCTGGGTGATTGATGTCAGTTTGGGTTGACAACTGCAGCAGCGACAATGGGCGCAATCGATCGAGGCGGGCAGGTAAGGGAAAAGGAGCAGTAGAGTAACGCTAGTGGCCATGTTTTGATCGTCTGACATGAGAAGGTTGTTGTTCGGGCTGTGGGGAAAGAAAGTTTGAAGTAGACAGGTCAACAAGTAACGTTGAAATCGTGACGTCTGATTTAGGGTAGGTGTCTTGAGAGAGGTAGGCAGGTGTGATATAATACAGTAAATGTTGTGAAATATAGAACTTGTGTGGCTAGATACCCTATCAAGGGTTGGAGATCAAGCCATGATGAAGATATATCTCACAGTAGAAAGCGAAAAGAACTAGATACAATAAAAGAAATGAATGAATGAGTGAACAATACATACATTTTTGCTTACTGGTCCTACAAGGCCCACAAGATAGCAGGACCCTAGTCCGTTTCTGAGCTTGAGTGGGCGGAAGCTGATAGCTACTGTTGATAGGTAGTTGCGGCCGACTAGAAGCTGCGGCTCCCTTAGGTAATAAATGATGAAGGTTTCTCGGGGGGTTCGTTGGCTTCGGGTTGACATGAATGTTGCTGCTACCGCTGCCGGTGCTGTACCCGCGCTGGGGAGCTCGTGGGGGCCGGGAGGACATGATGCCTCCTTGAGGTGTGGTGATCCAACCTGTCGGTAACGGTTTTGATCTTGTGTCCGTTTCTGGAGTCCGGCTGTATAGACGAGGCACTTGAGGATTCAATATCTGGCGACTCGGATCGGGTTTATCGTTGTTGTAGGTTGTATATAAGCGAGGCTCGGAGATAAGGGGTTTGGCTGTGGTGCTTTATTCCGGTTTGTCTTGGGTTGATCTTTGCTCTTGATCTTGGAAAGCTCGGTAGGTGAGAGTTGGAGAAGGGATTACTCAGCGGTATGCGCCCAAAGAGAGTTTAGCAGTGGGATTGATGTGATGTGGTGGCTGGAATACTGTTCTTAGCATAAGATTCAGGTTGTGGATTTGGAATAGTCGTAGTCGACTGAATATGATGCTGCAATCACGACTATGATCTTGATGTGCAAAGCTCTTTTTCTGTCGGTAGGAACTTAATCTCCCTGCCGACAGCACTGGTATTCCCCTCTTCTCGGCAAGGGCCTTTGTCGAGCACCTACTGTGTGGTAGGATCGCATTTACAACCAACATGCATTGGACCTACCCAATCATCGAGCACTATGGCCGAGGGTTGGCAATGTTTGGAAGGGGACATATCAATCATATCGTGAGGGGGAAAAAAAACCATGTATTTGGGAATTTGCCTCGCTTTCTTCAGCCCCATTCCGATAATTACCATGCTGCCCATATGCATTTCCCTTTTTCCTGGCCCCAAACTCCAATAAAACAGAAGATATCAAGTCGGAAGACGTCTGGGTATCCCTTGTAGCCATCCACTGCCCTCCAGCCATGCCCTTGATTTTCACAATATCCCTCGGCTGCCTTGGTATTGCTGAGCAGCCTTGGCTTGTGCCATAAAAGCGCCACTAGGCCCAGCCGCTGGTTCAGAGGTATCGCTGTTGAACAGATAGCAGACACATATTCCTCAACCATGCGCCACGACTTGGCCGACGCCTTATCTCGTAGTATGTGATAGACCCATTTAGAATCCTCCCGCTCAAGTAGCCGGAGCACCAGGGAGTCTCTCGATGGCATATTTGCCCTTTTGGACGCCCAGAATGGGCACACCTGGGATCTTGCGGAGTCTTCGCTTGAGATCACGATCGTTGGCTGCTCTCTATCAGTAAAAGCTCAACGAGAAAAAAAAAGGGGGTTACCTACTGGCAACGATGTAGATACGGTTCTTCTGGACGCGGTCGACGATGCACTAGGCAGAGTTAATTAAATCAAGACACCGAAGAGAAGACGAATATTGGGAATTCTTACATCATCTGCATAGGTTCCCTTGTGGTCGCAGGTGAGCCTCGTCCACCTCTCGTCACGAGCAATCATCAAGGCCATGCGGTACTTGGGGCCCAGCTTCTCGAGTTCCGCCATGACGCAGTCTGTGATGATGATGTTGACCGAGGCATACAGGGCGTCCATGGCAGATTCTAGAAGTGGCAGCTTCGCCTGGATGGATCTGCTCAGGAAATTGGTATCGACAATGATCTGGTATGGTGGAACAAGCGAGGTGTTGAACTCGAAGAACATGGATGATGGTGCTTGCTGCGTGATGGTTAGTTTTGTCCTGTTCAGTCTGTGAAGATTATGAGAGGACAAGACATACAGGGACCTCGCGAACTAGTTCCTTCTCCTTCTTCTTGATTTCCAACTTCTTCTTCTCGGCCTCTGTTTTCCTCCTGTCATCGTTCTTGCCGATGACCCGCTTCATGCGGAACTCGCGAACTTTCTTTGCGACTGTTGTTATGTGGTTAGTGTCTGATGAGATGTGAAGGGTGAGTGGCGGACAGAAACTTACCACCCATATTGACGGTAAAGTCGCTGAATAATATTGGTATTGTCTATGAGATGTTTCAAATCACTCGGTGAGTCTGAATTATCGGGTTGTTCGTTTGATGGTGACGGCTTCGTTTCATGTAAGTGAATGAGTTTGCTGATCTTGAATTTTTTGAGAAGCCTGGCACGGACCAAGTTCGTCCCAGTCCCAATTGCAGCATGGTGGCGTGGCCCCGGCGCGTTGCACAGCGGGCGCTGCGGCAATCCCAGACAGCTGGCAACCGACTGCCCACCTCTAGCCCAGGCTGTCTTTAATTAAGGTTTGGCGGCGTCCAGAAACAGGAGGGGCGTCCTGAAATCATCTTGGCCCTGAAATGCAAGAACTGCAGGGCGCTCGCGATGCAGTAGTTAGGTGCGTCTGCACCCAATATGCAGGTATCCGTCTGCTTTCCACCATGAGACGGTTTGTGAAGGACAGTATCTTTCTGCAAATATCATAGAAATAATAGCCTGATGGGCTGAGACGCCGCAGCGTTGAGATTTGCTGGATCAGCGTGCCTGCGTTTGCCAAGACCAAGAGTGGTCCGGGGGAGACGAACGGGGAACATGGGAGGGGGGCTGACGGTTTTTACGGGGGGCCACCAACACGAAGGAGGTCTCCTTTTTCCCTACTGCTGGGCATCCCTTTGCCTCTCCATCTCTCTGTGCTATTACCTAGCCCTCGCTCGTGTCGCTACACTACACTACATACATCAATTTACATTCTTGCCGTCGGCCATTGACACGCGCGTCGCATCCCCTCGTTACCCATTTGTTTTGAGATTATTTTCCGCCGTGTGTCTCTCGGCCTGCCTGGAACTTGCTTCCGTCACCACTGAGACCTGGGCAACGCAGACTCAGCCCCGTCCCTCCACAACCACCCACTCGGAGTCGATCCCTTCGTTGGTGGCTGCAGGCCTTGTCCGACAACAAAGTCCTCTTCTCCAGGTTGAACCCCGCCAGATACTCATTGTGACCTTGAATACTGGAACAGTTATCGTTCACGAGGGCCTCGACGACACATTTGCCGCAATGCGGACATCATCGCCACTGTCGCTGAGGCGCGCGCTTCTGCTGACGTCCTTCTTCGCTGCCGGAGTCTACGCCCAACAAAACAACGACGACGAAGACGAAGCACAGACATCGCAAACACAAAACACACAGCCAACGCCCACAAACAACCGGCCATCGACCTCCTCCGCGAATGCGCAAACGAGCCAAACATCTTCTCCCACCAACGCTCCTCCCCCGCTGTCTTCCAGCACCCAATCCGAAGAAACACTCCCTTCCCTTCCTCAACCGACCGCCGACTTGACCCTCACCGATCTCCCGACCCTCTCCTCCCGTCCCGACCTCAGCATCCCGACTTACCCCCCTCCCGCCATCCCGCCCACCCACAATGCTCCCTTCATGAACCACTCGACCCTCCCAGATGGCACCGTATTTATCGCCGTCGGCGCCATCCTGGCCGCCTTTGGCCTCGCCGTCCTCCTCTGGCGCGGCATCCTCGTCTGCCTCCTCCACCGCAGCGTAGAACGCGCGGCCATGGCCCAGCACGCAGCAAACGACAAGTCGGCCGCCTCCTTCCCGGCTCCCCCGGCCCAATTCTACAAGTACCTCGAGCGGGAATCCAACGCCTCTCTTCCTGTTGCTGGCGCCAACTCGGGAACCAACAGCGGGATCGGCACCCGGCGCACCCACCGCGGTCCTACCCCCTCGGCCACCCCCTCGCAAACAAACCTGTTTTTTTCACCTACGGCCGGCCACGGAGCGGCAATGGGTGGCGGCGGTGCCGGAGCGGGCTCCTCAAACCGCGACTCGAGGTTTTTACCCTCTGGGTTTTATGCCTCAGCATCACCCAATCCTGGTGGTGCGGGTGCGGTAGGTGGTGGTGGTGGTGGTGGTGGTCATCAGCATGGAAACTCTGTTAGTCTGTCTACCCTGCGACCGGCATCACGAGGAAGGGGGCAGATGATGGGGCCTAGTCCGCCCGAGTCCCCGTCTATCGATCCGAGAATGGGAGGGGGGTTTAGCTCGAGCTCGCTGAACTTGAACAGGCCGCCTAGCGCGGGGGCGAGGGCGCCGAGTGCGTATTTGGATGACTTGTTGGATGATCAGCCGGGGTTGTTTCCTCCTGCTGGGGGGCAGCCTGGGCAGCAGGGGGGTGGGTATAATGGGGGGCAGCAGAAAGGGAGGTTTTAGGTTCTTTTGTCGTAGGGTTTTTATTCTGGGTTTGGGGAGATGGAGGTGGTTTAAAATGTTTATTTCTGGGGTTGTTGTGTAGTAGTAGTATGGACTTTTTTTTCAAATTGTTTAGGGATGGCGGGGGGGTTGGTGGTTTACCTTTTTGGGGCGAGTGGCATAGCAACCTTTTATTTTATTTTTTTCCTCTCTTCTTCTTTTATGGAAATTGTAGGAGGGTGGATTCCTGAGGGGGGTGTATTTTTTGTTTTTTGTTTATTACTATTGGAGCATCCAGTTTATTGTTTTTGGCGGTTTGGGTCAGAGAGAAGAGAAACTTTTTTTTTCTTTCTTCCGTGTCTTTGCTGAGGTTTGGTGGTGTGCTGTGTTAGTGTTGTGGACGATGAAGTTATCAGAATATTGGGGGGGTTATGGTTGCGACCTTGGTTGAATTTTTCTTGTTTTATGTTGTTGTGTGGTGTTTTCATTCGTCCTGGAGTGAGCGGTGTTTATGTCTTTTGTTCTTATGTGGGGGAAAAAAAGGGCTGTAAATATTCCCCTGATAGTTGAATCACAGGACCATACCAGACACACTTCATCTTTCCACTATCCCAACTTACACCAGGACCTGCCAGCCTCGTTTACCATCTCAAACAATTTTTTTTTAAAAAGCCGGACGGATACTTGCAGTGACACTTGCACAAAAACCCGGACTCTTACATATGTACAGGACAAGTACCGGACATACATGCAGCAGACAGGCAGATAGGGACATGGATCAGACGTAGTACACACAAACCGTCCTTTTCCACTCCCCGGACTTTGCCGAGCAGCTTCTCGGATGGTATTTCTGCTGTCGTGACACAAAGACTGGACATATTACTCCGGCTACAGCCACTCGTCAACATTCAAGCCACCCAAGTCTCCAAAACAAATATCGAAGCATCGCTGAATTTTTACACATTACTGCTATCCACAATCGTATACCTCCACCACCACATGTTTCCCTTTCCGCTGTTTACTGCTGCCCACTACCCAGTATATCCTCCCCCCTAATCCCGCTCCGCTCGCACATTCCCCTGAAAATCCCCCCTTCCACCTCCCACAACCCCCTCGGCGTCCCAATCTCCGCTATCCTCCCCTTGTCCATCACCACAATCCTGTCATACCCGATAATCGTCCTCAACCGGTGCGCTATACACAACAACGTCTTCCCCTTGAACCCCTTTGCCATCGTAGCCTGGATCTTGTCGTCTGTTTCCATGTCCACTGACGAGGTGGCCTCGTCGCAGACAATGATCTGCGAACCGCGGACCAGTGCCCTAGCCAGAGCCATCAACTGGCGTTGCCCAAGACTAAAGTTGAGACCGTCTTCTTCGACCGTGCTGTCGAGGTGGATTTTGGAAGACGAGGAATTATTCTCCCCCCCGTTGGCGGATGCTTCAGGTGAGGAAGGGGAAGGGGAAGGGGTGTCAGACACCAAATCGGCTTGACGCAAGGCACCCCAGAGTTCAAGGTCCGAGTGCTCGCCAAAGGGGTCGAGGTTGGACCTGACAGTGCCCCGGAAGAGGGTCGGGTCTTGGGGGATAATTGCCAGCCGGGAGCGGAGGTCGTGGAGGCCAACGGTGGAAATGTCAACCCCGTCAATGGTTATTTTTCCAGACGAGATCTCGACAAGGCGGAAGAGGGTGGACATGATGGATGATTTGCCTGCCCCTGTCCGCCCGACGATACCGATGCGCTCGCCGCCTTTGATGTGCATTGATAAGCCCTGCAGGACAAGAGGGAGACCCTCGCGGTAGCGCATGTGAACATCGTCAAAGACGATCTCGCCGTTTTGGGGCCATTCTTTGGGGAGTTCGATGGTCTTGAGGGGCGCTTCCTCGTCGAGCTCGGTACCGTAGTACAACAGGCGCTCGACCGCATTCATGCCGTTCTCGACTTCGGCGAGCTGGCGGACGGTGAATTGAATCATGCCTGCGATGCCGAGGATGTAGGACAGGACCAAACCGCCGATGGAAGGGGGCACGGAGAAGCGGGATGTGACGACCAAGATGCCCGTTGTGAAGACGAGAAGGTTGCCGATTTGATCGAGCCGGATTGACAACCACCGCTGGTTGGAATAGGTCAAGAAGTAGGCCGAGTCCATGTCGTCAATGGCTTGACGCAAGTCGACAATGAACCTCTCCTTGAGACCGTAGGCGCGGATGCTGGCCACCCCGGAAAGACCTTCGCCAAACTTGGCAAAGACGTTGGACCGAAGGATAGACTCCAAACGCTTGACTTCTCTCGCCGAGGCTCGGTAGTAAGATGTAGCAAACAGGAAGAGAATAAACAACGGAACAAGGGCGATGACAAAGTAGTAAAAGAAGGCGATGATGAGACAAAACACCGAGATGATGGAGCCTATGCTGAAGAAGTACATGCGCATGGCATCAGTCAAGTTGTTGTCCATGACATCAACGTCTCTGCTGAATCGGTTCGTGATGCGGCCCAGGGGAGTAGTATCGAAGAAGGACATGGGCGCGCGCAGGACCCTGGTGATGGCGTTCTGGAGCATGACCTTGCTGGCCGTCGTTCCAAAGATGGATAGGGATACCATGAAGGCGAACATGAGCAGAGCCTGGACGGCACCCAGACCGGCATAGACACCAATGTATTGCCCTGTTGAGAGACTCCACTTGTCTGCTGTCCACCACGAGAGCCACAGACTGGTGACAATGTTGGCGCCCTGAGAGATGATCAGGAGGAAGAGAACGATATAGAGGTTGAAGATGGTGCCGGAAGCCTTGATGTAAGACGTGTACACCGACCATGGCACGCTAGCCACCGCTCGCTCTTCGGCTTGCATGAGCGCCTTGCCCTTCTTCTTTTTCTTCTGTCCACTGTCCCCGGGAACTGTTGCAGCAGCGCCATCCTCCTTCTTCTCTTCAACGGCCGTGGTCTCCATCAACGTCCGGAAACCCTCCGAATTTTCCATGAGGTTTTTGAACGTGTCAACAGCCTGGATCTTGCCGGCCTCCATCCAGATGATTCTGTCGCAGCGGTTCAACACCCAGAGCTGATGTGTGGCCAAGATTCTGCACTTGTCCTTGAGAAGCCCACAGATGGCATTGTCGAAAATGTGTCTTCCAACATGAGCATCAACCGCGCTTAACGGATCGTCCATCAGAACGATGTCAGCGTTGAAGTAGATGGCGCGAGCAATGTTCAACCGTTGCTTTTGCCCGCCCGAGATTGTGATGCCTCTCTCGCCAATCTCAGTCAAGTCGTTGTTAGGCAGCATATCCAAATCCGGCTGCAGAGCACAAGCCTTGATGACATCGGAATACCACCCCTTGTCCATTTCCTTGCCGAACAGAATGTTCTCCTTGACCGTGGTATTTTGAATCCAAGCATACTGGGGGCAGAAGGCTCTGGACGCTCCCAAGACGACCTCGCCGCTCGTCTTACGCATGTCGCCAGCCAACGCAGCAAGCAGAGATGTTTTGCCACTGCCAACAGTACCAATAACAGCGACGAGCTCATTCCGGCCAACCTCGAAATTGAGATCTTGAAGTTTGAAGGGCTCCCGCTCTTCCACTAGAGTGCTCGCATCCTCGCTAGCATCTCCAGGCGTGGGCTTGGACTTGCTCTTGATGTTTGTCCCGACAGTCCCCTCGCTATCCTGGGTAGGTGTCCTTTCCCATGTGAAAGAAGCATCATGCATCTCAACCGCATTCTCGATCTCCGGGTCAAACTTGGCCTCCTCTTCCCGCTCCTCGGCCAGCACAAACTCCTGAATACGAGAAATCGACGACCAAGCATCCGTCACCTGGCCAATAACCATGGGCAACAGATTTAGTGGCATTCTCAGACCGTTGAACAGAGCCAACGACGAGAAGATTTCAGCAGGCGCCAGGTTGTGGTTGGTAAGCGAGTAGGTGATAAAGGCCAGCATGGAAGCAAAAATGGGCAGTGAAATGCTGATAGCCATGATGGCATTGCGAATCGAGAGAAGGACTTGAATGGCCGAGATCTCGCGGTTTCGAAAATCTCCCAGTCTCTGCAAAAACGAGCCCTCCCAGCCGAAGAACTTGACGAATCGAACCGACTGGAGGATTTCCTGCGTCAGACTGACTCTCTGGTCAGTAATCTTGTTGATGTCCTTTCTCCGCCTGAACAGGCTCCTGATGGCCCTGGTGAGGATGGGCATACCAACAACCAGCAAGGCAAAACCAGCCAGGGCGCTGTAGGTGATGTTGACGAGAAGCAACGCAAGCGTGATAAGACACGACAAGGGAGCAGTCCAGATCATGTGGAACAAGCCACAGGCCTGATCAACCCTGTACGTGTCGACGCTCATGATGTTGATGATCCTGCCATTTCCCCAACCTTCCCCATTAGCCCCAGCATCCTCTCCCCCCTTTCCACGCCTCTCATCCTTCCCCCCCTGCTTCTTCGCCGCCACCGCAGCAGGAATATCCGGCAACCCAACCCCGCCCGCCTTCGCCCTCCCACTGACCACCATGCTCTTCTCATAGATCAGACTAATCAAACTCGCCCTGGCCATCCCCCCGATAACCATGCCCCGGTAGATAAAATGGTTGATACAAAAACTCGACAACACCTGCATCCCCGTTACCCCAACAACCAACCCTATCCCCGCCGCCAAATTTGGCTCCGGAAAGTCCGGTACCCTATCCGCAAGCCAGGCGTCCTGCGCAAACTGGATGAGGTACCTCAGCGTGAACGGCGCCATGACCTGAAGGATAGTCGCCAACAGCTGGCACATACCGCCCAGCCAAAACTCCCAGGCGAATGTCTCGTGCATAGCCCACAACAGAGGGTATTTATCCCCTCTTTTGACCCTCTTCTCAAACGACTCCTTCATCCGCTCGGTGAGCGGTTCGACAGACCGGTCAGGGTTGACTTTGTATATGTCTGTCGGTTGAAGAGGGCGTTTATAACCCGTGGTCATGAGGGGCCCCATCCAGTGGAAGACGAGTTTGCTGAAGAAACTGGCCTTGTGCTCGGGAGAA